TTGTAAACAAATATTCCTTAAATATCAATAAAAAACCAAACAAAGCTATTCGACATTATTGTATTTTGTAAAATTATTGTAAATAAATTAATTTTTCTATTTTTTACTTTTAATGGACTTTACATATGTGGAATTTCCCTGCACTGTTAACAAAAACGTATTGAAAGCATACTTCGATATAGAAAAAACTAAACTTCCCAAATCATTTGGCAAAACAACGCATTCTTACGATTTGAATGAAACCAACACAAATCAAGCAAAATCACTCCGTCATCTAGTTTTGGATGCCATCATTAGCAATTGGAATGGTAAAAGTATTATTGTTATTTTATTCTCATACCAAAAATGCAAACGAAAGTAAATCAAAATTTTAAACCCAACAGAAAATCCCATATTCAAGGAGTTACCAAGACAGGAGGACCGTAACTACATACTAAGCAATTTGAATGTAAATTTGCCCTTAAAACAACTAAGCCGGCACATACGAAGTAGTTTCTTTTGGAATAAAGCCTTTTGCCACCGTTGGAAAGTACAACAGACAGTGCAGCCAAGGCAGCGAAAACCTTGGATTAACATTTACATGGAAAGACATCTGCAAGAGTTTATTGAAAATGTTCAGACAAGTGACTATGATCAGGAAAGCGTACAAGAAACCTTGGACATTTGCGCGGAGTACATAAATCAATTGGAGATAAACTTTTTGCAACCCTCTCCAGACGGACAACACAGTAAGTCAAATGAAAAATATATTTATTTTGTAGTAAAAGTAAATAAAATGTAAGCTTTTGTTTCAACACACAATTCCGTTTAAATAGATCACATTCCACTTGATTTCATTTTGAGTAATCTGCCGGAATTGCACACGTTACGTTTAACATATTGTACCAAGTCTTTGGGTATGAATTTCTACTTGGGCTGTAATACCTTGTCGAAGCGTGATGTGCTCCATTTGGCCAGAGGACTGAGCAGAAGTCATGAGCTTCTACATTTCTGGTAATTATTATTAAACAGTCATTACATTTCAGCTTAAATATAATTTTGTTACGTGCAGCTTACACAGCACCAAATTGAGTCCTTATCAGTTACACCCGATTGCACGCAATTTGGACAGAGGCTGCCACAACTTAACATCGCTCGCTTTGGTGCATTGTTCCTTTGGCAACGAAGGCATACGCAAATTCCTACAGGCTTGTAATAAGGAATCCTTTAGTACGTTAAAAATTTTGGACTTAACAAATAATAAAATAAGTGAGTTTATTAATTACATATGAAAAATTATATGATTCAAAATGCATATTGTCAATAAGCAAGATAGTGTTTATTTTTGTGCTGAATTGTTATTATATATATTTTTATTTTATTTTATTTTAATTTATTTTATTTTATTTTATTTTATTTTATTTTATTTTATTTAAATGAATATTTTATTCTATTTTATTTTATTTAAATGAATATTTATTTTATATCTATTTTATTTTATATTGTTTTATTTTATTAAATTATAATTTATTTTTATTATTTTATAGTTTTATTTTATTTTATATTTTTGTATATTTTTTTTTACTCTTATTAAAAACTTGTAATATAAATAGTGAAAATTGAAATCCATTGAGGCGCGTTTTAGTACAAAGTACTGAGCTAACCACGGCCAATAGTCCTTTTATTTCGTCGCATTTCTGTATTATATTTAACTGACTTAAACTGTTAAATACAAAAGCGGTCTTATGGTTATATCTTGGTGGTTTGTACTTCCGATATTCTTATACGATGCCAACGACCTAAAAATCATATTTTTGATCAGGGTACAAACTATCAATCTAAATCACGAATCTATTTGTGTCTCGGTTTATTTGGCTCATTCATATTGAATAAATGGATCTTGGTTGTATGTGAAAATTATTCGCAAATCAATTGCCTCATACCTCTTATTTCAACTGAACGAACCAAACTGATTTTTCAAATATTTTAAAAGACAATCAATTAAATTATAAAACGTCATAAATGTGGATAATTATGGTCTATATTTTCAATCAAAGCCTTCATACAAGCTGATGCTTCAGGTACAGCATAAGTATTACAAAACTATACATAAATATAACTATAAGAAATAAACATGAGTAGTTAACACTGCAGATGTCAGCATATACCTATTCAACATAAACTAAAGTACCAATAAACTGAACATTTAAAAAAACTACGTATAGCCATGCCAACCACAATAAATGTCACTGCCATAATACAAAAAGCTACGTAATAAGGGGGTATTCACGATCTTGCGTAACGAACTCGGTAACTAGGTAATACAGTAGAAATGAGTAGGGATGACAAAATATATTTTGTTGGTATTGTGTTGGTAGTTCACAATGTTATTATGTTAGTCGAATAAAGATCTCATAACTCGAGATCGTGAATAGCTCTACTAATTTGTACTCTTAAGAACAATGAAAGTAAACTCACTTAAAAGCATAGTTCAGTGTGATTATTATTGTGTTGATAGCTTAGGCCTTACCAATTTTTTTTACTTAAATCGAAACACTTGTATGAATGCATGTACTCTAGATACCTTGTTAAGAATTTATTTATTTATTATTATTTTCAATGTTCATTTGAGATTTTATTACAAAATCTTAAAAAAGTAACAATCAATAATAATTTTAAATACAATCTATATCTCTTTTCATAGCTGCTGAGGGTGCTTTATTGCTCAGTCGTTCTTTACGTAATCTGAAACTGGAAAAATTCATTTTACGTTTCAATCCCATACAAAGCGATGGTGCCGCTATCATTTTCTCTCTACTAAATTATTTACCCATTAAATATTTGGACATTAGTTGCTGTTGCATATGCGTGGGAATAACAAAATTATTTATGCAATTAATTGTAGAGAACAAGATCTTACGATATTTAGACGTCTCTAATAATGAATTGAATGAGGTAATTATTATTGCTTAAGTCAAGCAATTAATAAATACATTAACCAATATTTTTAGGAATTCGGTGTTCAACTTTATAAAATTATTGGTTTTAACAAAACATTGCAGATGTTGGATGTGAGAAACACAGGACTTTCTTTCACTTTGCGTAATAAACTAAGAGATATTTTAAAACAAAACTTTCCGAAAAAAAGTTTTAAATTAACTTATTAAAATGTTATCAAATAAATTTAATGACATAAAATTTGAAGAAATAATACCATATAGAAATATAAAACAAATATGTACATAAAATAAATAAATAAAAAAATTTGAAAAAAATCTGTTTCCGCCCGGGATCGAACCGGGGGCCTTCCGCGTGTTAGGCGGATGTGATAACCACTACACCACGGAAACAGTTGCTTGGATTGTGCCAATATTTCTTTTAGAGTTACAACAAACAAATGATATCAGATTAAAAAAAATACATTTATTAATGCATAATATATAATTTAATGTATATATACATATATATTTATAGCAAAATATAATAAATATGTATAATTCGCTCCTCCGGGCTTTGCCGTAAACGCATGTTATACAGACTGTCACATCAGTATTGCCAATTTTGTATTTTTATAGTGTTTTAATTCTTTTTGGTTAAAAGGAAATTTAGATATGCTCACTTTCAATTACCCACCAAAAACGACCAAATTGTTTTTTCTCTCATTGTCAAATTTAAAATTTGTATTAAAAATAAGAACAATTGTACTCGTGCCGTGCCCGAGACACAAATAATAATTCAGTCAAAGCGTTGAGAGGGGTTATGAAGAATCCTCGCACTTAATAAAGAATTAAAGTGCACAAGTGCACTGACTCAACTAGCCTCAACATAATAATATAATATGTAGCAATATATAAAAAACATATTATTTACAATCTTAAGTGGCCACCACAAACGTGAGTCGTCATGGCAATATCGAGTAGCCTCCGCCAGCCAGCCCAATCAGTGGTTTGCTGTCGTCAGTTGATAGTACCGAGCACCTCCAAATCGTTGGTCACTTCCACCGAAGATACGAACATTTTCTACTGTTTTTTCCACCTGCGGGTACCAAATCAAATATCTTTCTAGCTGGAGCACTTTCTTTCATTCGTACGACATGACTAAGCCAGCGAAGTCGCTGAATTTTTATGCGCTTAACTATGTCAATGTACGATATAGCGCATACGCCTTATCGTTCCATCTAATTCGATTCTTGTTGTCAACGAGTAAAGAACAACATCTTTACTCAAATGCACTGTTGGTAATTGTCCAAACTTCTACACCATATAGCAGGACAGATATGATAAGAGAGTTGTAGAGCCTGATTTTTGTACGTTGAGAGAGCGATTTATTTGTACATAATAAATATACACTATAGAGCAATAAAAAAAAATACATAATATATAGCAAAACATAAAAAATATATAATATAAGCCAATATATAAAAAATATATAATATACTAGCTGACCCGGCGAACGTT